CCTGGAACTCACAGAGATCCACCTGCCTCTGCCTCCCAAGTGCTTGAATTAAAGGTGTGTGCCACCAATGCCCGTCATGGCTTTGTTTTTTTTTTAATTACATTTACTTGTGTATGTGTGTGTGCATGTTTGACACTGTTCACATAAAGAGGTCAGAGCATAGCTTTTGGAAATTGTTTCTCTTTCTACCACTTTTGTGCCTGGTTCCAATGCAGGTCACCAGGCTTGGCGGCAAGCACCTATACCCATTCAGCCATCCAACCGTCCTCAGGTTTTTTTTTTATCTTAGTATTTAGGGTTAGTGGGAAATAACCCTGTAAGACTAAAATAAAATCACTTAAGTCATTCTGCCCTCCTGATTCTGTCTATGTCCTCATCACAGTTTTTACATCTGAATTTGTGCACACGATTTCACCTTTAAGGTTAACGGCATATGTGAAGCATATTTTCCAGGATCAAATTATGGTTCAAATTATGCTTCAAGAAGGGACTGGAATGAGCTTGCCAAAGAATGTTTACTGGCCAAGAGTACATACTTAACTACCTGACTGACACAATGTTTGCTTATCTGATTATTTTTTAAAAGTGGGATTTCAAAAATCAAAATATTACATACTGGTAGCTGCTTTCCCAAAACAGTAGGCCACAATCCTCTGCAACATAAACACTCCCAGGAAAATTATAACACTGGGATTTATCGTACTAAGTCCTATGAGATCCTCACTCAACTTTTCAGCTTTTGTCGATAAAGTCAAACCCTCCCATCATCAGACTCAACACACACTGACCCAAGCGAACAGACCCAACTTTTCACTGTGTTCCGGCTGCACACCTAGCACTGCCTGGCATATACAAAGCTCATGAAGGGAACTGAGGAATCAGATGGGAACGGGGGGAAAAGGAAAATACGAGTATAACTGAAATTGTAGGCAGAATTTAGGAAATTTGTTAATGTCTGAATACAGTGTTCATGGGACTAGATGCAGGAATGTTTGGAAAGGGGGAAACTCACAAAGAAACACAATGGCTTTCCAGGGGATCACCCATGGATTAATCTCTGCTTAGGTCATATAGTTCATAGCCTTCCCTCCAAGTGGGTTAACTGTGGTGTCACTGTCTAATTCTCTACCAACTCGTCTGACACACAGGGTTAGCCTGTGCTACTCAGGTTGTTCTCCCACTCGATAGTAACAATTACTGAAGTCCATGAAGTACTTACTTACTGAGAGGCATCGTAACAACTTTCAAAGGTTAATTCTTAGTCCTTAAATAACCCTGTGAGGTAAGTACATTTTAAACCCACTTTATGGATAAGGAACCTAAGGCAGAGATAAATGGGGGATATACCTCATAGTAACTTCCTCTTTGGTAAAGGAACTTACAGGAAGGAACCTAACTCACCATTAGCATCCATAAAATGTAGCAAAGCAAGGTCATAAGAGAAGCAAGAGCCATGGCTGGTGGTGCACATATCTCAGAACGTCACCCTAAACCCACCAGTTAACTTCTTCCTGTGCTTTAGAATGGAGTACACCTGTACTCTCAGCGCTCACAAAACTAAGAGGTTAGCTGGAGGTCAGCCTGGGCCACAGAAACCGTCTCAATAAAAACCGGGGGGATGTGGGGTGCAGATGTGAGAAGGCTGTGCAACTTGGGCATGTCTCCTTTGAAGACTTCAAAACTGACAAAATAACAGCCATAAAGTACTTCACAAATGACTTGCTGTGTCCAGAAATTCACAAAAAATGTATTTAGCCTACAAGTAAAGGTTACTTACTTCACACCTCCCTATTTCAAACGACCTCTTTCATCTAGCACACAGTAGTACCGATTATAATACTGTCTCCACAAGACCAACGCGAATTCAGTGTAACCCACTAATTACCAAACATTTTCACAGCGGCCCAGTCAAAAAACAACAACAACAACAACAAAAAAAAACAAAAACAAAACGCCTCATGGAATCAAAAAGTTAGGGAGAAAAGCCACCCTGTAAAGATTCTGCCTGGAATGTCTCTCCATTCTTTCTGAACACTATGTATCGACATTATTTCCTTCACGAATGCCTTGCTTTAATTTCTATTTTTCACCACCGTTACTGGGACAGGAAAGATCTTGAGAAATCACTGCCACGTATGTAAACGGCAAAGGCGTTTATAATCTAGGGTGAGGAAAATGCAATGGGCCAGTACTATTTCCAGATCCCAGCAGCGTTAGGACAGTGACACCTGAGTTTCCGGTCTGAAGGTAAGGCTGAGAAGAAAAATCAGGGAGTGGCCAATGTCCTTCTGGGCTTTCACTTGTGGCTCTTGGTGCTGCTTTCCAAGGCTCCGGCTTGGTTGAGCACTGGCTGGGGGAGGGGGTGGTCTTCGGGAGGGCAATCTGGTGGCCTTTAACCCCCCACGGGACACGCAGAGTCCACGAGAGGCGCCCGCCCACACTCGCGATCGCCCCCTCCCTCGACAGCTGGTCCCCACGTGTGATGTCCCTGCCCTCAGGACTCTGCTGACAGCCAGGCTCCAGGCAGAACCCTGCAGCCCTCGGCCCTCCCCAGCCTGCCCATTTACACAAGCCGACGCCAGTGTCGACCCAGGCCTGTCCTCCCTTCGCCCTCCACGGACAGGCCGTTCACGGACGCGTGTTGTCAACAGCGGACTCGGTGAGGAGCTGGCGCGCCTCACGAAGGCCTCAGAGCCGGGCGTGGACTGTCTCTGGTGGACCGCCAGCCTCAGGCCTGGTCCGGCTCAGATTCTGCTGAGGTCCGGCCAACCAAGGAAGCCCAAGCTCGACCCA